GTTGGGCATTTGTGGGGGAATTTTATTGTGTTCTATCCTGAACAGAAGGGAGGCAGGGAACCTATTCCTGAATAGTCTTTGACCCAGAAATTGTTACAAGGAATGAGTTTATGCTGTGATTAAAAACCAGAAACTGCTGGGCATTGGTGGTGCACACCTTTAATCCTAGCACCCAGGAGGCAGAGGCAGGTGGATCTCTTTGAGTTCGAGGCCAGCCTGGTCTACAGAGCGAGTTCCAGAACAGCCTCCAAAGCTACAGAGAAACCGTGTCTTGGGAAACAAACAAACAAATAACAACAAAAAAAAACCAACAACAACCAGAAATTACTGTGTATGGCACAGGCAAGAAGAGTGCAGAACACAGAGTGAATAGCAAAGAGCCACTGGCAAAGCTCAAGGCAGGTTCTGTGGCTGAACCAACAGCTCTGGGGGAGGAGGTAGGATGTGCCAGAAAAGTGTTGTTTGGGAAAGAACAGGCCAGTCTGCAAAAGCAGAAATGAACAGGAACAATAACAGGTGAAAACTTAGCATCATAAGATGAGGAAAGGACAGGGAGACAGCTCAGCAGAGAAACACCGGCTGTTCTTCCATAGGACCAGGACTCGATTCCTGATGGCTCACAGCCGTCAGTAACTGTAGTCTGAGGAGACAGAACACTATCTTTTGGCCTCCAAGGGTAGCAGACATGCACGTTGTGTAGACATACATTCAAACAAAATACCCAAACACAATGAAAATAGTTAAAAAAAGAAAAAAAGATTAGTAAGAGAATTCTAAACTCATGCTAAGACTGAAAATTAAACCATAAAAGCCCAGTCTTGTAAAGAACAAATAAAAGGCTGGGTCTGTGGTGGTGCGCAACTTTAAATCCAGCACTCTGGAGGCAGAGACAGGCAGATCTGTGAGTTCAAGGCCATCCTGATCTATAGAGTGAACTACAGAGCAGAAGGGGCTACACAGAGAAACCCTGTCTTGAGGTGGAGGTGAGGTTGGGTGAGAAGCAGTATCTATGAAGCTAATTGAAGCAAAGATCTAAAAGCCTACTAAGGTTCTGAGGTAAGTAGCCTCCTATCAGGTTTTCTATTGCTGTAATAAACAAGTTGGGGAAGAAAGGGCTATTGGCTTAGAATTCCACATCCCAGTCCATCACTGAAAGAAATCTGGGCAGGAACCTGGAGGCAGAAGTCATGGAGGGAGGGGTGCTGCTTACTGGCTTGCTCAACCTGCTTTGTTATAGCACCCAGGACCAATATCCTAGTAATGGCAGCACCCACAAAAGGGGACCTCCCCCATTGATTACCAGATTTAAAAAATGCTAGAGGCCTGCCTAAAGCCCAATCCTACAGAGGCATTTTCTCAATTGAGACTCCCTCATCTCCCAATGACTCTTGTGTTAAGCTGATTCAAAACAAGCACAGCACCACAGGATCAAAAACAAGTCTAGGCTGGCAACAGCCTGTGCAGGCAGAAAACTGGCTCCCAGCTGTTCAAAGGGTGGGCCACCTGCAGAGTAGAGCTTGACGCCATCCCAGGCCCCTTCCTGTACCTCCCAAACTACTCATTAACAGCAGTGTCACTCAACCCACCATGCTGCTGGCTATCAAGAGACACAGGAGCCTGCCTTACTAGAAAAGACTCTGCCCCCATAAACCCTAGATTCTTGGCTGAACACTAAAAGGACCAATGCAACCTCTTGGTCTGAGAGGTAAGATAGGCCTTGGTGCCTAGAGGACTAGCTGCGACAATAACCAGTAAACTGCTAACCAAGCCTGTTTCCTACTATGCAGGACACAGAGGATCTGTGCCCATCTGACAGCCTGAAGCTTCTATGACACAGCATTTCTGGGGGCGGAGATGTGAAAAGTGTGCTGGCTAGTTTTATGTCAATTTAACACAAGAGACTCTTGTGCGGAGGGGGCCTCAACTGAAGGATTTAAAAAGAAGAGGAAAGAAAAGAAAAAAAACCCGGCCTCCATAAGGTCAGGCTGTGGGCAGAAATAGATGGGGAGGGCCTAGCTCAGCATGGGTGGTATCACCCTTAGGCTGATAGTCCTGAGTTCTCTTAAAGCAGGCTAAGCAAGCCAGTAAACAGTATTCCTCTAACCTCTGCATTAGTTCCTGCCTCCAAGTTCCTGCTAGGACTTTCTTTAATGATGAACAGTGAAAGCTGGGCAATCCCAGCTCTTGGGAAGCAGAGGCAGGTTGATGTCTGATTTCTTTTGAGGACAGCCTGGACTAGAGTAAGTTCTAAGATGGCCAGGGCTACACAGAGAAACCCTTGGGGGAGGGTGGTGGTGGATGAGACTGGTGGAACAGTGATGTGTGTGGTTAAGTTTCAAACCCAGGACAAAAGGCTAAGGTGCCTATTTAACATATCAAAGCAGACCTGGCTGCCTGGTTCTCCCAGCATCCCTCAGTCCCTATGTGCTACAGGGTGTGGCTGGCATACTCCACCCTCTACCCTGAACTCTCCAGCCCAAGCTCCTTCCCCTAGAGGCTCTTCCCAATATAATCCAGACTCTCCTCCTCTTGTACCGTTGGCCTCCTGGCTGCTGTACCTGGTTCCCCTCTCCCACTCCTCTCCCTCTCCCTACATGGCCCAGCTCAGCCTGGTCATGTCCTCTGGATTCTCCCAGATGTCCATCTCTGGCGATGCTCTCCCACATATCTATAATAAACTTTCTCCTCCAGCATACTAAGAGCAGTCATGTCCTTCCCTTCCCTTTCCACTCCTTTTTTTATTTAATGTGGAAGCATAAACCAAATAACCCCTTTCAAACCCCAAGTTGCTTTTTGGTCATGGTGTTTCATCACAGCAAAAGTGACCTAAGACAGAAATGAATGGGAAACCACTAAAGCACACTGAGAACTGGCCTCAGAATTGAAAGCCACCTGGGCAATGGACTTGGGCCAACATTTGCCCACCCCAGCCCTCAGACAAGCCACAGCAACATCCACCAAGAGCAGATGCTAGGTGAGGGTGGTAGCCTGGCTGAAGGCCACACTGCTTCCCTAGACAGCCCTGGCATCTTGTCACATTGGATAGGTAAAGACAGGATGGGGAAAGGACACAGCCAGAAACCACATCATGATACAAATGATAAATTATATTTATACAGTAAATAAGTATCAACAGTCAACACAAATCCAAAACCAACCACCAGCCCTGGGACTGAGAAACAGCTGGATGACTTCCTTAGGGTACTCATCGGGAAGGGCATGGTGGCATGTGTGCAACACACATGGCAGTGGCCAGTGGCTTCATGATCAGTGCAACAGGTAACAGGGACATGCGCTGGATGGCCTGTGGGAGGAGGGAACCCAGTGGCTAGTAGGGTGGGGCCTCAGTCAGAAGGGCTCTCATCTTCTGCAGCAGAATCACCGGCCCCCAGCAGGCAGATCTGGACCTGGCCTGTACAATCTGAAGGAAGTACAATCTGAAACACTGCCCCGCCTCCCCTGTCCCATGATGTCTCTACCTCTCCCAGGCAGGAGCCTAGTCATCAGCCTTCCTGATTAGCAGAGCCCAAACCTACCTCTAGGCCTCTAGTCCTGGGGGAAGTAGGTAGTTAGGAAGGGCCCTTGGCTTGTGGAGCCTAGGAGCAGCATGTGGACTCTCAGACTCAAGAGGGGCTTGAGTATAGTTTGAGTATAGTTTGACTACTGAGGCAAACGTGGGTGTTGAGGACCAAAATTCTCTCTGGATGCAGAGAGGGGCTGGCAGGCAGTTGGGTGCCCTTGGAGCTGACGGCTAAATTCATACTGCAAGACAAGGCAGAAAGGCCAACCACACAGACTGCCAGGACCAAGAAGGGGAGGTCCTTTCTCTGAAGAAAAGCAAGTCTGTGGTTTCTAATTCAGGATTTAATACTTTCCTTAACAGTGAGTAGAGTGAGGGTTCAGGAGGTTGGGTGAGAAAAGAGCATCAGTGCACGTCTGTTAAAAATTGATGCCATGTGAGGATTCTTTTGTCTCCAAAGTAAGATATGATCACTTCCTGGTCAACGGCCTGAGCTGGAGCTGGCAACAGACACATCAGGGTCAGTCTCTCTCCTAACTCAGCTTGGGGACCAACCTGGTGACCTATGAGCCCAGAAGAGGACAGCCACCCCCATTTTCACACAATCTCATTAGCCTGAGCATGATAATAGGGCAGCCAGCTGCACTTCTGGTGTGCAGTAAACACAAGTTCCTGGCAATCCCTATGTGCCAGGTACAAAGAAAGGAAGTAGTAGTTGATAAAAACTGGCAAGTCACAATCATGCGTTGTTCGTTTTTCCTTTTAACATTAAGATGTCAATATACTAGTAGCAAAAAGCCTCTCAGGATCTAGGCAAAAAGGCTGAAGGGTCAATAGATTTGGTAATTCATCAAAGAGCTGAAGAAAGGAAAAAGGCAACTAGAGGCTGCAGGTTTTCGTTCCTGTTGGAAGTTTTTGTTGTTTTAATAAAATTGGTTTTGTGTAATCAAATTCTGAATTTTTTTTTTTACTATAAAGAATTTGCTTAGTTTTCCATAAGGCATATTTTTGTCATCCAAATATCTCTTCTTTTAAAGTTTTCTTACAGTTAAAACCATAAATAAGAGAAATTAGACCACTAAAATAATACATGCCAAGACCTTAATTCAGCCAGACTTGGTCAATTCTATCAAAACTAGACAGTTAAATAAGAACCACATTATAAAAATATTAGCCAAAAAAAGACTATTAGATAATTCTGCAAACTCAAATATGAAACTGTACTCAACAAAATGTGCAAACGTGCACAAGCACAGAGCCACAGGGCAGGGCTGTGCTCTGGTCAGCTTGAAGCCCCACACTAGTGGTGTTTACCTTAGACTCCCACGAGTCAAAGGAAAATAAAATATGCACAACCACTTCTCAACAGTCATTGTGGAGTGGGGCCAGAGCTTCACCTTGTCCACACCCTGAGGACACTGGGGGTGGGGCACACATGTGACTGCCCCAAGTCCTGGGCTAGACAGCATCCCAGAATCTTGAGCAACACTGGTAACACCTCCTTGTTCAAGACCTCAATGGAGTACGGCCAGAGCTGAGCACTTAGGAAGAGACACAGGGGCCTGGCTAGGACTGTGAGGCCATCCCACCTGCGCTCCAGTCTGAAGGTCTGGACTATAACAACCACCCTTTCACCAGGAAGCTGGACCTGAAGCTCTAACACCCCTACCACCATATTCTCATCCACTACACAAACCAGAGTGAGACCCCACTTGACGTCCTTGGGCTTGGCACTCTGGGTGTTCACTCAGGCAAGTCCCAGCCTGGGCACTAGAGAAGGAAAGGGTTGGTAGTGCCCGTGGCCTGTGCTGCTGACGGGGGAATGCCAACACTGCCTACCATGTTCATTGCTGTAGGGCCTAGTGGTGTCAATGAAGAGCCACTGGCCCCCAATGCTGAGGGTGGGGCTACTGAGGTCACGGGTGCCACAGGCTCCATCCCTCCACCAGACCCAAAGGATGCACTGCTCCCAAGCACAGGGCTTCCCCGAAGCTGGTTCAGTGTCAGTGGCTGGGGCTGGTTGACCTGGAAGGGGTAGACAGGGGTTGAGGTGGCAGCACCTGATAAAAGAGCAAGGAGAACACAAGATGAGTTCATTGAAAGGGACTATCCCTCTCAAGACAGGGTTACACACACACACACACACACACACACACACACACACGCGCGCGCGCGCGCGCGCGCGCGCGCGCCACTCCAGCATTGATCAGTAGGGTAGACTCCACAGGAAACACTAGAAAACATCTACAGATTGCGTAGGCCAAAAAGACTATGGCTATGAGTTGTGTGGGACCTGCCCAGTGCTATAGAGATAAACAAGGCAGAGCCAGGGGACACAGGCTTGGGTATTCTAGTTCCTCTGAGGGGTGGGTTCCCTGGATGCTGTCAGCTGCCCTGCTCCCTCATTTTGTCTGTCAGTTATGGCTATAGGTGACTGGAAAAGGCCATGCAGCATCCCGGAATGTACACATTGACACTGCATAGGCTTGAGAAGGAAGGGCCTGCTGCTGAGAAAATCAGCTCACCCAGCTTCTCTAAACTCCCCTCAACCAAAAGGCCATTCTAACTGCTGGGTCTTCCCAGCATACATGGCACTGCTGTCAGAAAGTCTCTGTGCTTGTTCGGCCTCACTAACATGGCCTGCTCACAAAGGAACCATGACAAGAGGAAGTTGCTGTACTCTGACCCACTCTGGGGATATACTTCTACCAGGACTGTTATGTGACCCCAAGTTCACAGAAGACAAAGGTCATCTGCAGCCCCTACTCAGGAGTGGCAGATCCAGGTCTACCCGTGTAGCCCAGAATGACCCAAGTCTACCACATCTGCCAAAGCTTCCTCAATCTGGCCATGGCCCCTGAAGTCCATAATACGTTCATAGGCAAGGCCCACCACACTGTTGGAGCCCCTCACAGCTCTTGGACTCTGGCACTGGGCACAAGCGTCTCTTGGCCAACAACGGACACCAGATTAGCCGAGGACTGGGTTCTGCCCAGCTCCATCCATGGGGAAACTTTTCTCTAGAGATACCATGCCTTCAAACATTAGGACCCTCAGGGTGGAGTGGGACCTAGAAATCCCACATATCCCATTTCTGCCTGAAGGCCCCAAACCTCAGCTTCTAGAGACCATACTCCTCTGCTAGGACCTGTAGGAACAGAGAACTAAAGTCCTCTAATCCCTGAGACACAGAGTCAGGTCAGGGTTGACACTACTAGAAATACATTTCTCCTCTTGGGAGGCTTAAGTCTTGAATCTATGCAGAGCAAGGGCGAGAGGACATGCTAGATGAAGAGCAAAGCTGAGGGTATGTGGAAGGGGGTGTGCAAACAGGGTGAGTAGGGAATGTCATAGCTGGAGCTAAAGAGCGGACTCCTAAGATCCTGAGGACTGTTACCCAGCTTAGTATAGTTGAGTGTGATGCACATGGGAATGGAAGAGGGTAAAAATGGGATAGAAGGTTGGAGGTCAGAGCCAGTTCCAGGCTGTGGGGACCACAAGTAGTGGGTCAAGTGACTGGGCCTATCCTCTGGCAGTGCAGGACCTGGAACATGCTGTGTAGAATACTGTGCCAGGCACTATGACAAGGGCCCTTCAGCCTGGAGGAGCAGTTCATGCTAAAGCGCTAAGGCACTCCTTCTCCTATAGATATAGCGATAGATATAGGGCAGCAAACAGCCTCTGTTAGACCCAAAGCTAGCACTAGTAAGAGCATCCCTGCAGGCACAGTTGTCAGACAGCTTCTACATCGTACTCTCTTCCAGGAAGAGGCTGATTTCTTCCCTAGCCTTACCCCTCTTTAAACAGCAGCATCTATACCCATCCCACCAGGCCTAGAGATAAACTGCAGTATGGAATTCCTGAGGGCTCCACCCCTTCCCAGCCATAGGTCAGCAGTCCCTGAAAGGAAAGAGGCAGAGACCAACCGTGGACAGTACAGCCATTGATGAAGCCCAGCATATACCTACCTGGTGCCAGGAAGGGATTGAGGGACTGGGCTGGTGGAGCAGGCTTGGTCACCAGTGAGTCCAGGTTCACCAGGGCTGCATTGGGGCCCAGAAAGGACTCAGGTGTTTTCCGGGCACTGCTGGGCTTGCTTGAGGCAGAAGTCAGGGGTTGAGACTCGAAGAGGTCAGGGCTCGTGGTTCTGCTGTCTTGGGGTGGTACTGAGGCCCCCGACTCTGCTGCAAGACAAGGACAAAGCAAGTTTTGTAAACAGTGCACACACACACAAAACCACTGAACAAATAAATGTAATTTTAAAACACTAAGTGGAAAAGCAAGATTCACACAAATACACACAGCACAATCCTCCAAAAAAATTAAGATGTTATTTGAGGCTGATGGCAGAGCATAGATGTATACTTATTTACATTATTTTTGTTTGTTTGTTTTTTCCAGACAGAGTTTCTCTGTGTAACAACCCTGGTTGTCCGGGAACTCACTTTGTATGTAGACCTGGCTAGAGTTGAACTCAGAGATCCGCCTACCTCTGCCTATTGAGAGCTGGGATTAAAGGCGTGCGTCACCATCACGCAGCTACATTAATTTTCTAATTATTTTCTAACTATTGAGCCAGTGAGATATCTCCATAGGTAAAGCATTTGCTGTACAAGCCTGAAGCTTCAATCACTAGAACCCAAACAAAAAAGCCAATGGCTCACTTCTATAATCCCAACATTCCAACAGCAGACAGGAGGCAGAGAGAACAGAATTTTCTGGAAGCTCACACTGAGATGACAGGAAAGAACCACCTCCCCAAAGACAGATGACTGACAGACAGACACACACATACACACACATACACACACATACACACATACACATACACATACACACACACACACACACACACACACACACACACACCCTGAAAAGTTTGTTCAACCAGGTGGTCAAATGCACAAAATGCTATATAGAAAACATCTTTAACCTACCTGGCTTTTTTGAAGCTCGAAGGTTGTCAAATTCAGAAAAATCATCTTTAACTGTACCATTGAAATTACTGAAGAGTTCAAAGGACCCTGAGGGAACATTTAAGCTTGTGACTGAGGGCATGCATCTCTTTCCACTCCCCAGTAAAACAGGTACCAAATTTGCATGGGGATAGTGGATCAACACAGGCCATAGCGGCTTCTCCCAAGTACCCCACATCATAGTGTAAACTCAGGGCCAAGCTTTATTCAGTCGCTTGGACTAGAAAGGAAGCAGGTGGGATCAGAGACACGACTGCCTACCACTTCCTTTACCATCTTATGTAGGAAGGGCCAGCAGTGTGGGCAAATGTGTACAGGGTCTGGACACTGGGACAGAGTTGTGGGAAGTGCCCCCAGGGAGATAAGAGATCAGCCTGCCACCCAGGGAGAAGGCCAGAACTCATGTTTGGGGCCCAGTGGGAACAGAAATGGTCAGTCAGCTAGCTACTGCCAGTGTAGCAGAAGGGAGGGAAAAGTGATGCTACAGGGACCAGGCTGAGCAAAGTGATCACCTGAGGCAGAGCTGGGCTTGGCAGCTCCCCAGGCATCTGCTGTTTTCCCAGCATTGGAGGCAGGCTGCTGGGAGGCTGCCCAGGGGTCTGGGTTCTTGGGGACAGACTGTGTGCTGGCTGTGGTAGGCACTCCCCATGGGTCCACAGAAGCAGCTGGCTTGGTACCTGCAGAGGTCAGAGTCAGAATTCAGAACAGGAGCTGGAGAGTGTTAATAAAGTTTCCACTACTTCTGCAGAGGCCCAAGGTGTGGTTCCCACCACTCACAACAGCATGCTCATGGTAGTCTGTAAGTCCAGTTCCAGGGAATTTGACACCCTCAGGCCACCTCAGGCATATGCACAAAAATGGTACCCATAAACTCACACAGTTTCACACGCATATACATGAACTTTTAAAAAATCTGCTAAATGCAATAATGAACTATAAACTGGAATTGTAAGCTAAATAAACTCCTTCACCCCAGAAAAAAAAAAAAAAAACAAATAACTTACAAGTAACTTCAGAAAGTTCTAGACAAATGGAGTGAGGGCAGAAGACACAGTGGCACACAGGTCTGTGCCCTGCCACTAAGGCACCTACTCATAGAGTGCTACAGCAGCATGCCAACCAGACTGGGCAGAGTCCAGGGCCTGCCAGACAAGAAGGACTGGAGACAGTCCTCTAGTAAATGCCACAGACAGCAAAGCTGAAAGACCTCCTAAACATTTCCCATTACACAAGAGCCCACAGGGGTCTCCAAAGACAAAAGAAGCTGTAAGGAACAAGTCTACTTCCCCTACAATGCAGGCTCCAACCCAATCAGGAAGCTTGGCAACCCTGTTACTCTGCTTGACTGCCCAGGGGCACTCTCCCATCAGCCTTGGGTGAGCCCTGCTCTGAAGGTTGAGTACCAAGGAAAGGGTAACAGAACAGGTGAATGCTTATCACCAGTTTCAGTGGCAGAATGTTTCCAAACTAGGAGCAACAAGGTCACCTTAGTGGTCACAACTGCCTTTTACAAAGGTCTGCTGGGATAACTCAACCAGTAAATATGCTTGGAACCAAGGTTGACAACATGAGCTTGATGCTCAGGACTCACGTGATAGAAGAGAACCAATTTCTACTAGTTGACCTCTGACCTGTACACATTAACTACCCTATATATACATACACACCATCCCCCACATACACATACACGCGTGCACGCGCGCAAAAAAAATACTTTTAAATGGGGGGTGGGAGAGAATATTTCTGTGTATATCTAATGTTAAATGTCAAGCTTGTGTGGATTTTTCAATAATCATCTTTCTTGTGGAAGACAAGAAATGTTTCAATACTGCTACTTTTTCAGGTCTACCGCAAAGTACCCTGAACCAAACTGAGCTGGGTAACCCCCATCTTGCTTTGCCTTTTAGTTTATCACACCTTGAAACAATGCAATGGATAGCTGTGCTGGACTTCACAATTCATTATATAAATAAGATGTGTATGTGGTCATTCTTTGGTGACTGGCTTTGTTTACTACACATTGTTGACATGTAGCTGAAACTTATCTATAAAAAGGTCACAAATGGTCACTGGGGTAGGTCCTGGGTATTCTTTGTGTAGCTGCCTATTCTTGTTTACAACCCTTTTGTTGTGTGCACAGATGACAGCTACTGGGCAACAGGTCCCTGCACTTTGAGCAAGTAATGCCACAACTCCTTCCACACTGGTTCTAATAGTCTATAATCCTCTAAGCAGGTACTATTGCCCTTGGAGTTACCTCTAACTGTCTAATGTAACCATTTTTTTCAATTTGTGCCAAAGTGGTACATATGAAGTCTATTTTGCAATAATTTTATGTTTCCTTGTTCTTTAATAAAAATGTACATCCCTTTACATATTCAAGGTCCTTTTCCTACAAGGTCCGTCTTTCATCAAGTGTCCTCTAGGGTTTATCTCTGTCTCACTAACTTACCTAAACCATGGATTAAAGTGCCCATTCATTCTTGGGATCTCAGTCAGATCTTCAGGTGTTTATTACTGGGCTCCCTAGTCTTTTCATTGGCCTACTTACTTCTCTGCATGATCTTAATTATCTTCACACATATTATGATAATGAACCAAGAAAGAGTCTCATGTAGCTCAGGCTGGCCTCAAACTATGTAGCTGAGGATGACCTTGAACCTTTTTTTTGAGGGGGTGGAGTAGTCCAAGACAAAGGGTTTCTTTGTGTAGCCTTTGCTGTCCTGTAACTCACTCTGTAGACTAGGTTATCCTGGAACTCAGAGATCCACCTGCCTCTGCCTCCCAAAGGCTGGAATTAAAAGCAAGCACCACCACCTCCATGGCCTTGAATTTCTGATCCTCTGGTCTCTCTGCTCTGAAGTACGAGGATGGTGATGATTCTTAATAACTGATATGACAAATCCTAGTCTGAGTCTGGCTGTCCCTGGCTCTTGCTTTTCCAAACTGATCATAAAAAATCATTTAGTTAGGGTAAAAGAAAGATCAGAGGAAATGTGTACACATTCCTCAACTTACTCTTCTTCTCTCAGAGCTGAATAGAAGCAAGAAGATCAGGAGTTTGAAGCCAACCTGGGCTACAGCAAACCCCTGTCCCAAAAATCAAACAACAAAATGTGGTGGGACTTTGACCAAAACTGCATTGAATTCCTGATCAATTTGGAAAGAATCATCACCACAGTAATAGGGAGTTTCCCAAATCAAAATGGTACCTGTGTATTTACATTTTTAATAAAATTCAATCATTCTTATTTAGAATTTATATAGCACTGTAAAAGATTTACTTTAGTATCATTGCTGGGAACCTGCATTTTTTTTTAAATTTAATTTTGTATACTATGCTTTTATCTAGCAATCTTGCTGAACTCTAAATTGTAGTAAATAGAAGGTATTATATTGAAAGAATTTGATTCTTGGCTGGCATATTGATGCATCCCTTTAATCTCAGCACATAGGAGTCAGATGGATCTCTGAGTTCAAGAACAGCCTGGTCTATATAGTGAGTTGTAGGAAAACCAGGGCTATGTAGAGAGAGACCCTGTCTCAAAAAGAACAAACAGGGAGAAAGAATGAATGAAAGGAATTGATTCTGATGGTTCTATTCTTTTTGTTTGTATGTTTTTGTTTCCTGAGACAGGGTTTCTCTGTAGCTTTGGAGCTGTCCTGGAACTTGCTCTGTATACCAGGCTGGCTTTGAACTCTCAGAGATCCACCTGCCTCTGCCTCCCAAGTGCTTGGGACTAAAGGCGTGTGCCACCACTGCCTGGACAATTCTGTTAATTCTTAATTCAGTTTATTACCTATAAAAGTTCTAAGCATCTGTAAAATGCTAATGTCTTTTAGCCCTCTACACTTTTTTGTCATCCTATGGCATTAGCTAGAACCACCACTCACAATGTAAAGTAGTGGGACAGATCATTGGCATGTCTTGTACTTGACCTGACAAAATCAATTTCCAACATCTTAGTATTTAGTTAGCTTAGAGGTTTCCCTCCATTATTTATCTACTTATTATTTATTTATTTCCTTTGAGTCTGACATCTGCTATCTTCAATTGCTCTTCGCCTTATTATTTTGAGGCAGGGTCTCTCTCTAAGCCTGGAGCTCACCGATTCATACAAACTAAATAATCAGCTCCATGGAGGTATCTCTACTTCCCTACTCCCCAGGGGCTGGATTATAGACATGAGCCGATATGCCTGGCTTTTAAGTGAGCATGTGTGGGAGGCTTGTCATAAAAGCAAAGTTGGTAAAGTATTTGCTGGTCAAAATTGAGTTTACTTTAAATTTAACTTTACCAACTAACGCATCTATCTCCCCAGTCTCAGGTTTCCTCCATTTAGAAGCCCTAAGTTATGGGCATTTCCCCATTATTCTAAGATTGCCAAAAATATTTCTAATAAAAGCTATTTATGCTTCTATCAGAATGGTCTTTAGTAGGGCCAGTTTCTAAGGACTTGGTTCTTACAGAGGAATTTCCACAATACACTATCTTTTAGAAAATTTTCCTGGTTTACATTTCTTTCCAATACATCCATATTCATAAGTGGCCCTGACCTAAAATAGTTGAACCCACACTGTACTCTGTCTAGTGTTGATGTCAAGGTTACCTCAATTTCTGGAAACTGAGTAGGTTCTTATGTTCTGTTCTTTGAAGGAATTTGGAAAAAGAGTAGAACTGCTTCTGAATGCGATTAGAATTTACCTATAAAATCCTCTAGGTGGGGCTGGAGAGATGACTCAGAGGTTAAGAGCACTGACTGCTCTTCCAGAGATCCTGAGTTCAATTCCCAGCAACCACATGGTGGCTCACAACCATCCACTATGAGATCTGGTGCCCTCTTCTGGTGTGCAGATATACATGGAAGCAGAATGTTGTATACATAATAAATAAAATCTTAAAAAAAAAAAAAATCCTCTGGGTGGACTTAGGGGGGAAAGGGTTAAGTACTCTTTTGATTGCTTTCATGGTTAGTAAGCCTTATCTCTACTTACATTTTCTTCCTTTAGGAAGGGGTACAGGGGTTCACGTTACCCTGGGTAGAACTCAATAGACCTTTAACTCTTTTTTGTTGCTTTACATTTTAAGACAGGGTTTCTCTGTGTAGCCTTGGCTGTCCTGGAACTCTAAACCAGGCTGGCCTTGATCTCAGAAATCTGCCTGCCTCTGCCTCCACAGTGCTGGGATTAAAGGCATGTACTACTACTGCCCACAAGATCCTGAACTCTTTAAATCCTGTTCTCTAACTCCCTCATGCAAGGATTATAGGTATGAGTCACCACACCCAGCCAGATTTTCTGTTTTCCATTGGCATTCTGAACATTAAAGTTTTCAGATTTGTAAGCAGAGGTGGCTGCAAGCCCTCACTGCATTAGCAGTGTTTCACAGCAGAAGTTGTTCTTAACTCTTCATTTCTTTTTTGTTTTTGTTTTTTTTTTTAAATTAGTAGAACCTGGCAGCACAGTAATCCCAATTATTTGGGAAGCTAAGGTAGGAGGACTGAAAAGTTAGGTGCCTGTCTGAGCTACAGAGTAAATTCAAAACCAGTTTGGGCACCTAGAAAGACCCTGTCTTGAAGGGAGAGAAAAAAAAAAAAAAAAAAAAAAAAGGTCAGAAAAACTAGTGAAGCACACAGTGGCAGAGTGTCTATCCTGTGTGCACATAGCGGTGAGAATG